TTGAATTATTAATTAAAAAACACAGGTTGGAGGGAACAAACTGGAAAATTGAACCTCATGGTATGGAGGATATTCGCATTGTTACATACAAAGAGATGAAAGATCGGTATGGTGGAGTGTGATAAACAGGAAGGAAGTGAGTAGAAGTTTGAGCCTCTGCTGGAGTGCCAGAAATTATTCTCTGAGCTTAAACCCGCTTTGGTTAACCTGAAGGAACGATATATTAGCTTATATAGCCAAAACGGTGCCTAACACAAAAGTGATTTAAAATGATGCTTCTTTCAGAGGTTTGGACTGGATTTTTGAATATTAAGCCTGGTAATAGGCTATAGACAATACAAATATTTATTGGTACAGTTTGATAAAAGGCAGCAAAGAGTTTATTCTCATGATCATCTGCCTTAACTTTTTAATGATAAGGAATAATTTTATGGGCGATATGAACTGGTAGTTGTATTTGTAAATTAATCGTCTTGTTGGCGGGCGAAAACAAAAATTTTGCTATTAATCGTAAACGCTGTGACCGATATTTGAACGTTTTTAGGACTGAGTTGCTATACCTTTGATTCAAAATGACAAAACTGAACTGTTTTTATGTACAGCTGAATTGAAAGCATTAATAGTAACACGGATTATTTTCTGTCTACATACTTTTTTTTGTCAGGGGTAGATGGAAGTGAATAGTGGAGAGGTATAAGTGTAGATGTGGAAAAAACTGAAGCAAAGATAAGTCTAGGAAAAACTTTCACGAAAGAGTAAGCCAATACACAACGGTTTACCATTCTTCAGAAACAAAACAAATGTCCACTTATGGTGACCAGCTTTTTGTACCGCTGCTTTAGTGATCTCTTCTAAATTCTGCATCGCTTATGAAGCGTACTTACTGTTTTTCTTTTACGCAAAATTCTTACGCCAAAATGTACTCGTTGTATGAACATAATTAAGAAATTCTGATAATTGGAGCATTAGTATCAGTGCTACTTCAATGACTCGAGTAAACAAAACTGAACTTATTAGGGGCTTGTTCATTGAGGACAAAAGGCCAGAAGATGCTTTTAGTAACGTATGATATTTTTTACAATACGTCGATGATCGGCTAGCCGATTCTAGCAGACATATTGACATAGACTAGTTCACACACTTTGTCTACCTTTTGGACTAGAAGCTACAACAAAACGTATTGTTTTCAGTTACTTATTCTGCATTATCAATTTCTCTAGTTTATTTCATTTAAATATATAACACAGAACTTTGATAAATGAAAGTAGTAAGTTTTTGCTGCTTTATATACAAAATTTTCTTTATTTAAAATTGCCAATTAGACTTTAAAAGACAGAACGTTATTACTAAGATGAGTGGTTGTCAGGTAGTTCATCTTTTTCAAATAAAAATTAGAGTAAAAAGTGGCTAACTTCTAAATTTTTTTCAATTGGTTTTTTGTGTGTTTTTGATAGAAACAGCATTTGAAAATTGCGAGATGATTCGACAAGCCGAATATAAAAACTGAATTTTTTATGTTAAGAAGTTGGCAGTAAAAATGTGATGAAAAACTGGTCACAAATTTAAAAAAAAAAAAAAAAAAGATGGAATTGTTGAAAAGACGATTATAATATTAACCGCGGTACAACTTAGGTATATTCCAAAAAAAAGAAAAAAAAAAATAGTACAAAAAAAAAGTACAATAAAATTTTTAGAATTTTTATTTGCTTAAGAATTTTGATATCATATTTGTCAGCACTTTTGCAGATATATTTAGGAAAAAAAATTAACCAAATACAGCAGTGTACCGTCGAATTTAGGTGACAGTTGCTATTACAGTTCACAAACTAAAACTTCTACAATTTATTCGCCTGTTTTATACTTGTTTCTTCTTTCTTACTGTAATCTTAGCAACTGCTTTTGCCATATTTTTTGTATCGTCTATATTTTTTTTTTTTTTTTTTTGCAGTTAATTAGCTACAAATTCCATTGAGTATAGTAAAGTTGGCAAAT